CCCCCCCCCCCCCCCCCCCCAACAAGTTACCACCTTAAGGAGGGAGCCCTTAAACCTCTGGTATGATTTGTGCCCAGTCATTGTGTAAGAGTGTCTCGAAAAACATTCTCCCAGAAAAGCCTGACGAAAAGGAAAGAAAAGATGATTACCCTGTCCTTAGCTGGAGGGTCTGGCGTGTTTAACATGGTGGAATTCTTGTCGACTTTAGCTAACGAGGCTTCACACAGCAGCAACGTAGTCGCCAGCCAAAATCTTTGATCTCCATGAAGTTTCTACGAAGAACACAGGCACATACAACATCACGAAAATATTGTAACAATCTGAGCCATCGGATTTGGTGAAGTGTTTCTCCTCAAGGTTTGATTAAATAGTATTTCGATTATTAATAAGCTGATCTTCATAGCTTATCCACTTCAGACAGTCTAAACAGAGATTGCAGACTTCTGCAAGAGTGGACTCATCCCACTCAAACGTTGGTTGGTTTCCCTAACGAGTAGTCTATGAGGCCTAAGGTTGAAAGCGTAGCCACACGCTGCCATCACAGCTACCGGTGTTCATCCCACTACAGATCCTACTCAGAAGAGAAAGTTTTTCATGGCATGTTTAGGAATCTTGAGATGATAACCTCATTAACACAGCTTAGTTGCAGAGATCTATTTCGCTCACGAGTGAAATCCGGTGGCGTAATAAACAAATTTACACGACACGAACCTGCGCTTCAAGTAACAGTGAAGTAGCTTGTCCCCAGTTTGACTCTGCTAAAGCCATAACCGATAATTGCACCAGAATGTTAGCAAGAGTTCGCTTGTCGTCAAACGCCTGAACGTCAAAAAAAGAAAGAAAGAAAGAAAGAGACAAGTTTATCAAACAAATCAACACCCGTAAAATCCTGCGCTGCTTTTACTGATAAAATCATACGAAACCACCCCCCTGAATTAAATAATTCTGTTATTTCAAAAATTCTATTAAATTGTAGTTGAAAAGGAAGAACGACTGGTAATCCGAATAAAACCAAGATTTTGAACCGGAGGAAAACTTTTCCAGAGTCATCACATATCTTTCATAATCCATAACCAAACTCGTTGAGCTTCACGCTTAAAGTCTTGTTTGCAACTTTATAATGTAATAGTCTGGCCTTCAATCACAAAAGGTTCTCCAAACGCACGCTCGAGTCGTACATTTAAAGAACAAAAGACGACTTTTTTCGGATTCATATTTGACATTTCCTTTGCTGTACAAAGAAATGTGACTGAGATTCATGAAGATGTCCGAACGGACTTACCCTTGCTGACAGATTTGCTTCGCTTAATAGCTGTCGAGCCGGCAGAAACTGACCCTAAATGGAAAGGATAACCACAAACATTTGAAACGTGAAGAGAACTGTATGTATATGCTTATTGGACACAATTTAAAAAGTAACCATTCGGTCAGCTGTACCTGCCGGATAAGTATTTCAGCCTGCTCAGTCCATAATTCTCGATAACACACGTCACTTATCACCCATTTATGTTTGTTCCACGACTCCTCTTCAACAATATCCGCTGCGCCGGGCGCCTGAGGTCTGATTACTAGATTTGATGTCCTAGCTTCAGACATGACACTTTTGTTGTTTTTGGATTTTTCTTCTTCGGCTTTCACCTGGCGCTGTTTTTCTTTCCACATCTCGATTTCCTCTCGGGATCTGCAGAAAACCAAAACAAGTGACGATACTAACAATAAAAGGATGAAATAAATTCGAAACCATAACGGAATCAAATATCAGCCTTTTAAGAAAAAGCCTTCAAAGTGGTGGTCTTTGTGTTCCCATTTTTGAGACTTAACGAATATTTTCCGGCTGCGATTTCCTGGCAAAACTCTTGCGTACATAGTAAGAACACCTACACCTCTAGGGTCTCACGGTTTTGTGGAACAAGAGATCAGAAAGCAGCCCAACGTGGAAGATTTTTTAACTTAATTGCATTTTAACGTGGACTGTTCATAAAGCATATTTAAAAATAAAGATTAATTGACTGATTGATTGATTGTTAATTAAATAAATGCTCTTTCCTCGTAATTGATCACCTTGTGATTATGACCTCACACAAAACCCTCGAAGTATTAAGTTGTTTTCCAGACCTCTCTCTAGGAGAAAGGAAAGTCAAAGAACGTAATCAAAAAGCTATGTATTAATCGACTCACTTGGCTTGCTCTTGCTCTGTCAATAACATGCGGCCAGCACACTTCTCGTGATAGGCCACGCCCGAGGGTAGGTTTAGCTCCTGACATAATTCCAAGGCTCTAGAGTAGAAATAATTAATTAGTTCACTGGACGGCCACATAACCCTGAAACAGCAACATTAATTAAAAAATGTGAACCAAGTGGCTTGAAGAAAAGGAACGTTGTTTGAAATTTTGCCAGCGTGCGAACTTCGGTAAACTAATCCTTTGAGACATGGGAGCAAAAGCGTTGTTTTACTGATATGTAACTCTAAGCGGGAGTACTGAGCGCGATATCAATCTGGACACTTCGACTCTGATGTTTTCAATATTTTTCAACGGTTTAGCTATTTGACCTGTAAACCCCGCAGAACACTATCTCACTGTAACAGCCAATAAAATCACGGCAAACTAAGCAATTGTTGCCGATTGTCCCACAAGAAATGAAGAAGATTGGTTGAAAACTGAACAGTTACTTTCTACAAGCTGCTGACGTTCGACTGACAAACTCTTTACCTAATTCCAATGGGGAAATCCGTTCAAGTCGCTGAAAAGTTAATCAGTTATCCAAACAACAATACTCTTCAGAACTAGCCACGCCCGGAAAGTCACACTATCAACTTTACAAAAGCCCTTTCTCGTTATCTTTGGCGATTTATTGATTTATCGCACTTCTAGGTGCCAATTTAAAACATATAGGAAAGGTGGAAAAGGATCTAAATGCTGTGAGAGACAAAGGTAACAGATTGATCAGAATGGCCCTCTTACGTATTTCACTATGCGTGCGTGGAGGGTCGAAAACAACTAGAGGTGGTCAGCCGAACAGGAACAGAGACTCAAAGCTCAGAAGATAGAAAAGGAGAAGGAGGAAGAGGAAGATTGTGAAAATCAAATTAATTTTCAGAGTAGCGAGAGGAATAACGGAAGAAATGAAAACACAGAGACTTAAGGAGAATTTTTACCTGAGATGAACAAGTTTCTTTAACTGGCTATTGTCAAATACCAAGTCCGCTATGAGCTGTTGCATGGCAACAACAGGTAGCGCTAACTGGTGATATCCCAGGTCACGTAGATCACGGAACAACGCTTGCATGTAGTACAGACTCAGCATCTGAAAAGGAAAATAACACTGCAATGAAATATCTATATAGTATAGTAGTTATTACAAAGCGACACCCACTAGAATTGCAAAGAGAAATGGCTGTTACTATTCTTAATCGTGGATTCTTTGATCCATCAGACACATTTTCACTCTGACTTCAAAGTAGAAAACTTATCATAGATATTTCTCAAGAGAAATTACGGGAAGTGAAAAGAGACCAGTCAGTGGAGAGAGTCACTTAAACCTCGTAAAACAAATTTCATCATTTGCCGAGGAGCGATCTTGAAAACGGTAGAAAATGGAGTCTGAGACAAAAATTATTTTCTATCAAAGCGGCCTAAAATTTTCTTTTTCGTATTTCCGGGGCCGCATTTATTGTAGCCTTTACACTGAAAACGAAACTGACTTCTAACTTTGTTTCTAACGCTTACCGGCTTCAAGAAGGTTGCTTTATTAATCATTGTCCCTGTGATGTCACACTTGAAATATTCCTGAAGCTACGAGCCAGAGAGGAAATGCAACAAATAACGATGAAAACTCTTCAAAAATCGGAGAGTTTTAAGACTATCATTGAAATAGTGTGATCAAGACGCTTAAGGATAAAATCATTTCGCGAAAACATGTGAGCACTTCAGATGCATTCGAGAGCAAAAAGGTTCCATTTACCTTTTCCGAAAGTTCAAAAGTAGCCCATCCTTCTATTGTGCTTGGAAATAATGTCTTCACTGTCGATTTATCCACTTTTGTTTGAGACTAACAAAAAGTGAAACAGAAAAGTCAACGGTTATCTATCAAATATTTATGGCTTAGGCTACTTACATAAAAATATTTGTTCTCATCGGCCATTTACATGTTTTACATCATGTAAGAGCATAATCAGTGTAACAAACACGGCTTTTGTACACCTGCTTTCAACAGCTAACTCTGGGAAACTGGTTACGGCCGATGACACGACGGCGAAACTTATTAGTCAGTTTTCATAAACTGTTCAGATTTAAAATCATGACTAACCAACAACTCCTCAATTGAACTCCACGATGATTACCGCTAAGGTTGTCGATAAGTATTTCGCTGTCACAGACCTAACAATCACTGTTAATCCTGGGATCTAACCATTCACCACAACATGACATATGTAAATACTGAACGGAGTTCAGCGATGTACGGACCTCTTTAGCTTCCTTCCCTTTGTCTTTGCCCTTTTTAGATTGAGCTATCTCCCCCGGTTTTCCTCCTTCCTTCTGTATTCGCTCAGCTGAAGAGATTGAAACCTAAACACAAGATATGATTTTCACCATCATATACGACAGCGCAAAGTCACAAGGCATAGCCAGCTCACTTAAAACCAAACCAATCCAGCAGTTTTAATAGTAAAGTAGCTGCCCTCTTAAGGACACCCTCGCTAGCGGACAGGGCTCTTCTTCTGAGCGTGTCCGCTCATGATAGTTACCACTGTATCATGTACAGAATTTCATGGCTTTTCTGAAAAGCGTAATTTTTCTGCGTTTTCCCAGCGAGGGGACACAAGCTTTTGGGAAACCAAAAGGGTTTTATTGTCTCCGCTCGCTCGAATCCCACAAAAATTACGCCTACCGCGAGGCCAGGGGTTTCAGGAAGGATAGCACGCTTTGTACTCCGCCTTATCTCCCACGATATTATTATATTTTTCAATTTATTATTGATTTCACACACTCTTCTTCTGACCCGCGTTTTCTAATGACGAGATTTTGGTTCTCTTGCTCTCCACCGACACATTACATTATTGTTAAAAGCTAATTTTGTTTTACCTGCCATATCCTGTGGAGGAAGGCGTAAGCTAACAGCACATAGTCCCTAGAGTGTGGAGACGAGTTTCCAGCGACTTGGGCCAGCATAACATGAAGACGCATCAACGTCTCCAGCTGTCTGATGTCAATGATGTCTTGTACCTGCACGGTTACTTCTGAGGGGCGCACACCTATGACTGAGCGGTGCTCCCCTGGTACATATTTAGACGCATCTATCTCGCTCCCGCTCTCACTCCTTACATCATTGTGATCATCTGAAATATTAGACAGCCAGGTAAATGATATATACATTCAAGAAAAGATCAGACCATGATATCTATATTCCTGTGCACTGCAGGTCATACACAAGTGCTATCCCTCTCAAGATACTTAAAGACTCGAAGAATCCTGTCTCTCAGGAGTAGAGCCCTTTTCCACTAAGCTTCAAAAATAACCCGCGGTTGCTTTGGTTTTGCCTCACAGCGGTCTGTGTTTGGTCAAGAAAACTCGCCCTAAGCCAATCAGACGCAATACTAAAGCCAATCACGACCAGGTCTCTCATCTTTCCTCCTTGTTGCGTGTACAAACGTATATCACCCTTATAAGGTTACAGAACAAAGTAAAACGCTCTTATGACTTCGCGGTCTATGTACTTTCGCTGTGAAGAGAAGCTATTATCGCACTATTCCTTTCACTGCTGACAATTTACCATGTTTTACAGTTCATAATTAATTTGTCTATGTTTTAAAAAGCCTCAAACCAATTCAATGTTGTCATTCTTTGTCCCAAATTATGGTGAAAGATAGGAGATAAAATAAAAAATTTACACGACAATGTATGCAAAGAGCAATTTTCAAATCAAGTATCGAGGAAAATCCGATTGCCGTGGTGTAATGTCATGAAGCTGGGCGATTATTCTAGAAATAATCGCACCTCCTTCCTCACCAATCAGATGCAAAAGTACAATTGATCACCGCTTGGTCTCTCGCATTCACCGCGCCTAGGTTGGCTCTAGTGATATCTACCCTTTTTTTAAGATTGGTAGCTTTGATAACCTTGGTTTTGGTTTTCTGACTCTCGCGCAAAGAGCTCTCTAATAATACATCGCATTAGTAGTTATACAGCTCATATCACTCTTTACCTTGCTTGTTTTCTATATTTGAGGTTTTGTTCAGCAGAATATCAGATGCCCAAAGGAACTGAAAAAAAGAAGAAAAAAATTGAACGAAACGTTGGCAAACATGAACACGGAAATGAAAAGAAAAAGTTGAGCTACCTGATCCAAAGCGTCCTCCACCGGATACTCATTGACAAATAGCCATTCTCCAAATTCCATCAAGTAATCTACCTTTTGCCAGTCACTCTCTGGATTCTGTATTAAAGAGAAAACATATACTATATGGTTATGCACTGGCTACGGTAAAGCTCTATCCTCTCAGAGGTGAATTGGAGCCAATTCAAGTATGTCGTACTTACGTTGGGTGATGTAAGGGAGAGAACCACGTCAGGTTCTCTATAAACTTTGGTATCATGTGGACAGTGACTCGCGATTATTGTGATATTGACTCACGCACGTCTCGCACAATTTGTTTTATATTTCATTGTTACGTTGGTAACTCGAACAGTGTGCGTTGTATTTGATTGTTATGTAAGTTATTCGCCCACTCTGTTTTGTGTTTAATTGTTACGTTAGTAACTCGCACACTCTGTTGGGCAATTGATTGTTAGTTAGTGACTCGTGCACTCCGTTTCGTGTTTGATTGTTGGGTTAATGACTCGCACACTCTGCTTTGTGTTTGATTGTTACGTTAGTGTCACCTGCACTCTGTTTTGTGTTTGATTGTTACGTTAGTGTCTCTCGCACTCTATTTTGTGTTCGATTGATACGTTAGTGTCTTGCGCACTCTGTTTAAGTTTGATTGTTACGTTAGTGTCTCGTGCATTCTGTTTTGTGTTTGATTGTCACGTTAGTGTCTCGCGCACTCTGTTTTGTGTTTGATTGTTACGTTAGTGTCTAGTGCACTCTGTTTTGTGTTTGATTGTTAGGTTAG